CATACTGCAGTCTGTGTCCTACTTCAGTTGGGGTTAGGCTACAAGTTGGCAAAGACGCCATCCTGGCCTCGTGTGTTTATTAACATGTGCCTGCGCAGACGCAAGGGCTACCCATCTGTCACTTCCTGTTTGCTACGTGGACCTCCCCTGGCAGCTTCCTGTCTCTCCATAGTAGGGGGGCCCAGAGGACCGCAGCCCTGAATGTTCAGGGAAGAGGTTTCCCGTTTGGCAGACCTCACTCTCCAATGGACGCGGTCCTGTTTTATAACCGCATTGGCGGGTTACAGCGGTGGAGGAGCAGGAGGCGCAGCTCGCCTTCTACCTACCGTGGCGCTGCTGGCGCATGGCGGGGCACGCCACGCGTTCACTTCTTGTTTTTTACCACCTGTCTTTCTCTATTCCTCTTTTGTTTCTCTGCCTTTCTTACTATCTGCCTCTCTCTGTGCCTCTCATTCTCTCCCTCATTCTCTCCCTCTGCCCCTTTGCTCTGCTTCTCTTCCTTGCTCTCTGCCTCTCTCTCTCTCTCTCTCTCTCTCTGCCTCTCTGTCTTTCTCTCTCTGCCTCTCTCTCTCCGTCCTTCTCGCTGTGTAACTTGATCCTCGCCTATCAGACCCAACACGAGATCCCCGGTAGCGGCGGCGGCGGCGGCCTCTCATCCACTTCCTCCCTCGTGTTTTAAAGCCTCCTCTTTGATTAACTGCTCCCTCGCCGTCCGTATGGTGAGCACCCCCCCCCCCCTTAGCCCTTACACTGATATCGATTTTGCCCCCCCCCCCACCACCACCACCACCGAAAGATGGAGATGGAGACAGGCGGAGTCCTTTTAGACGTCAGCCCATCCCCGGAAATTAAGAAAAAACGCCTGAAACTGTACAATCACATTTGAATTACTGCGTTGCCCAGTGCTGACTACCGTACTAAGTGTGTATTAGCTGCAAATGTGCTTTCTATTAGCGGTCTAACAGTGCTTCATAATGCATTGGTTTCAATAATGTGGACTTTTGTGGATTGTACTTTATGAATGCAGCCCCAGTGTTTTCTTCTGATGTTTCTGCATGCGTGTTAGAAAAGAGGATATGGGAATTCTGCTCTAATGATCTTCTAATGAAACGTGGACGATATTCTCAGAAAAAAAAAACCCTCAACTCTCATGACTCACATTTCCTTTGACTCTATCTGCTCCTTGAGCCAATGGGCACTGAAGACGGATGTGAAACTGTCTGAAGAACCTAGTCACATGACAGATCTTGTCGACTTCCTCTCGTTTGAGGTCAGTCTCTAGGTGTGTTTGAATTGGTCCACTAATGCCCATGTCATTATTTTCTAGTAAAACGTGGGTGTGCAAATCCGGCTCCATATAGTGCACTACTTGCGCAACCGACGAGGCACACTTAATTCGGCACTATATCCCATGATGCATAGCAGTTTTCATTATCATCTGATTCGCCCAATAGAGATGGTCCGGCACATACAGGTTATTTATGCAAGTGAGCCGACGTGGGATGACGTCTAATTAAGCTGAAGAATTAATCAAAATATGATCAAAATCGCAATATGGCCCAAGTGCCATATGCAAATCGCAGGACCTGCAATTTGTTGATAACACCGTTGTGAATGAAGTACTGTCATGTGGCAGAGGTGCCCTGGCCTACACATTTTCTCCTAATGTAAGAAAACATGTTTGTTTGGTACAGACACCAACAAATGTCATCATGATCATGATTTTAATAGTGTGTCACTTTTCGGTGAAAAGGAAAATTCATGTCGCAATATCTGCCAAAAATCTGATTTTTCTTTTTTACCACATCGTTCAGCCTCAACGTCTAACACCTGTCGGTGCATAACTAGCCTCCCAATCCCCCCTACAGTATCAGTCCCTCCCTAAATAGGCGTACTATATATTAGTTACTATATAGGGAGTGAGGGAACAAGACACAAGCCTCTGTTGATTCTATTGCTTGAGCCTATGAGGAGCGCTGGCACTGCAGCTTCTTCCAAATGAAACCCGCCTACTGTCAAACACGGGCCTGATGTACAAACAGGAGCTAAAAGCGTCGGTTTAATGGTAGGGCCGCATCCAGACCTTTCACCAGAAACAGATCTTTGTCCATCGCCGGGGTTAACGGCGTGGAACCAGAAGACGTTTAAACAGTAAATATTGCCCCAGTGTGTTAATAATGGCCGCGCGTGGAGGCCTGTGTCTTTCAGCGCCGTGGTGTTTGTGGAGCATCTGCTCTGTGTCGGCTAGTCAGCGGGACACATGGACGCAGGCGCACACGCAAACAGGCAGAGCTGGGCGCAGAAGGGGAGGCGCCTGTTATCAACATACATGCCCACAGGACCCAAAGAAGCCCCGCCCCATTTTAATAGTTTATTACATGGCTTTGTTGAATACTCGTTTCTGATTGGCCAATTCTGTTACTTCTGAATAGCAGACCGCTGCTATGGACGCCATTTCCAACCGTGGAATCTAACTCGCTATTTTTTTCACGGGAAGCTAACTATTAAATCAATACAATTATTTTTTGGGAAATGATTGATTTCTTTAGTAAGTAGCCGTGTAATAAGCGTGTGATTACGTAGTACTGCTGATACTGTATAACGGTAAAGTAATACGGCTACATGTACCTCTTAAGGTGTGGGATGATGGACATTGTAATAACACGATAAAACTATAAAAGGTTTACTGCTCCGGTTACTGCTTTCCAGGGACGCATTGCAGCCCATGTTTGTCAACAGTGTAACCTGATTGGTTGTGTCGTTTCCCGTCCTCCTATTTCATTGGCCGGTTCCCCACGGCAGCCACATTGCCAACTCTTGTTTCTTGGCTATTTATTTTGTTGGTACATTTTGTTTTGGCTTCGCCGAACAGAAGTGTGTGTGTGTGTGTGTGTGTGTGTGTGTGTGTGTGTGTGTGTGTGTGTGTGTGTGTGTGTGTGTGTGTGTGTGTGTGTGTGTGTGTGTGTGTGTGTGTGTGTGTGTGTGTGTGTGTGTGTGTGTGTGTGTTGCAGCAGTACGACCGCTGTTCCATTCCACACCAAACCACTTTGTTTTTTTAAGATGGCCGCTTGGTTAACCCTTCCTCTGCCAGCCCATGTTCTGCAGTGGAGAACACATTGGGTCTCAGTAAGAGTCCTATCCGGCAGCTAAGGTGGGGTTTAAAACAATGACTCCTTGGTATTCTCTTTTTGAATCGCCGCATCGCTGCAGGATATCTTTGTCATTGTCCTGTTTGTGTACACACAAGCGGTGAACCACCCGGTACAACACCGTCCCAGGACCCAAATCGAACTGTCGAGGGAAGGATGAAGTTCTGGATTGGATGTTTGTTTGTGCAGCTCTCAATCACAGTTACAGTCTCATGATTTCTGACACCCCCCCCCCCACACACACACACACACACACACACACACACACACACACACACACACACACACACACACACACACACACAACCCGTAGCCTCATGAGACCATCCTGATCTCTGAGTTCACATTCAGTTTCTCTCTGCAGAGCGGTCTGGCCCCGAGCCCCTTGAAACCCTTCTCCAAACATTTAAAAATGCTAGGACCAATCAGCACTCAGGAGGGGGTTCAGTTCATGACAAACTAGGAACGCCAAATTAAAAAACAATGGCAGCACCAGAGGAAAGTGTAGCAATCAAAACTGTTTTTATCCGAAACGGAGAGTAACAATGTGAAGATGAACAGAAATCTGCACCTAAGGCTTCTCAGATTACAATATGTTTTTGCTTTGCTGACAACCGGATAAGGCAAGTGTGAAGAGGACGGCAAGGAGTGCAATAGGTGCCATAATGGCAACATAACAAGCACAAAGGTGCAAGTAAAATGAAATGGTTAGAAATGAGTGAGTGAAGTAAAGTGTGGAGGGTAGGTCGCGATATCATCCCCAGAGACTCTGTGATTCAGTAATCCCACGTGGGCACGCAGGGCGGCTCGTTAAATCAGCCGTCTAAAGCGGGGATTAGGACCCACTCTGATAGCTTCCTCTCTGGGTCTGTACACACACACACACACACACACACACACACCAGCTAGATGTCAGATGCATCTCCAATCCATATGTCACACACACACACGCGCCCTCTGTCACACGCTCACACTCGCAGACACCTCAAAGTCTCTCTGTGTCTCTGTCTGTAGCTCTCCATGCTGTCTGTGCTGTAGCTCCAGTGATGGGAGCTTGCGTGAAGGGAATGATGAGGCTGTTTGTTTTTCTTACACAAACTGTTTGTTCTCCGGCCAGCTGTTGGGCTGGAGGATGCAGACCAACCGTAGCGCACCAAAATGAAAGTGATTTCCCAGGTAGCCAATAGCCTGTGTGTCGGTGTTCAACATGGAGAGCCATGGGCGACGGCAGTTTTGTGCCGAAAAGTGTTCACCCACGCCTCTTGCAATGCTGAATTTACTCCACTAGAATTATAGTTGTGCTGTGCTATCGTGTGTTTCTGGGTCAGAGATATTGACAAAATTAGAAAAAAGATATCATCTTTAAAGGTTAGATTCTCAACATTGGAGCTGTTTTAATGCAAATATTGGCATTTTAATAGGTCAATATTGCCTGGTGAGCTCTGCATTCAGGTATGAGGGTTTTTTTTGTGACTCTGTTCAACTATTCTGTCTTTTTATACTCTTCTGGCTGTCTCTGTGAATCATTGTACTCCTGCGTGCTTTGTGTCTTTCTAAAGCGATGATTCAGAAAACTGTAATTAAGGGTCTCTCGCTCGCTCAGTCTGCTCCTTTGCTGGTCCTAGTGCACCAGAGTAAAGACTTGAAGTCTGTGTTTAAAAGGCTGAAGCACGTCGTCCCCTCGTCCATCTTTCTTTTTCATCCTCCTGTTGTGTTCCACAGTGCATGTCTTCGTCCTGGTCTCTTGATACCTCCCTGACGGGTACCCATTGGGCCAGCATCATATTCTCACAGGCAACCCTACCCAGGAATCCACCCAGCAACCTCCTGGTTCCAATAGTCGTTTCTGTCTAGCTCAACTGGTAGAGCATGGCATTAACACTGCCTGGGTCAGGGTTTTTATTCCCACTGTAGCCACCCACGCTAAGAATAAATGCACAGTTAGTGTTTAACAATACTATGACTCATGGTATTGTCAGACCAAATGAATGAATAGCAGACCCAAATGGCAAGTATTGAGTATTCATGTTCCCGCCCAACGTCCCACCAGGCCTGGAAAGCAGAATATCAAGACAACCAAAGGGTACAGGGAAGAAACCCACTGTTCGCTATGAACCATGTGGTTTCAGAAGGTTATTTGGTTATCTTATTTTGGCTTGTGTGAATGTCTTACGAATGCCCAATCCGAAATGGACTTGTCTGGTAATTAGTAGGGCTGCCCCCGACTAAAAATGTTCTTAGTCGACTATTCGTTGCACTTTTAATATAATTATTTCAATGTATTTTTTGGGGGCATCAGAAAATGGTTTGAGCTTTAGGGTGATGGAGAGTGTTATAAAAGAAAAGAAACACTGTTAACATTGTGCTACTTTACAGATAATACAAGACTGTGATGATGAGCCTTAAAAATAGCAGTTCTGAATGTTGTTGGAACAACCAGTTTGTTAATTTTATTTATACATTGTATAACGATTGTATAACGATGTGCGGTGCGTGTGGATGTATGTATGGGGAAGTGTTGGGCCCTGTTCACGCCTAGCATTAACTGTTGCTTCTTTTTTCTCACATATTTATACTTTTGCTTCAGAGGATGTGGATATTTGCGGCCCAGACCACCGCCAAAGGTTATCCGAGTGATCGGATCTCAATGTGTCTTGGGTACATTCACACCTGTACTTCCAGCTCTTCACTTGTGGTCGGATCACCCAAGACGCATGTTAATGCCAGGTGTGAACAGGGCCGATGTTAATAGCAGTTATGTTAAATTAATTGTTGTGAAAATGAATTGGTCTCTCTCTCTTGCGTGCGGCAGGCGCTGGGGGGGGGGGGGGGTGATCTTTGTATAATTGACGAATACAGAATCCTTCAGTCTACCATCCCATCATCAACATGCCGTGACCAAGTTAGTGCGTTTGCATGCAGTCGACTGCCCTTTAGCCTTACTTTCATGTGGTCTTGGATGCAGAGCGCGGTTCTCTCCTAGTGACAGAGTAGTTTCATGTGTGAACCTGGACAGATGCTCTCTCTGTGGCGGCCCAGAAAAAATATTTTCACACGCACGAAGCGGTCCGCCTATTAACGGCGTGGACAAAGCGGTTCTGAATGTTGTCGGAAAACAACCAGGAAGGAGACATTGAACAGTTTAAGTTCATTTATACATCGTATCACTGCACACATTTTTATTTAAAAGCAAGCAATTGCAATAGAGCTTGACGGTTGTCAAAACAAACTGTATAGACGCATTGCATTACAAGTACATTCAAGAAAAGTTGTTCATGTTTTCGTGTGTCCGGTGCGTGTGGGTGTATGACACTTCACTGTGTTGGGCCCTTTTCACACCTGGCATTAACATGCATCTTGGTTGATCCAATCATAAGTGGACAGCTCTAAGTACGTCAGTTCACACCTTGCGTTAACATGCGTCTCCAGTGACTACTTGTGATTGCATCTCACCTCCCCGCGCTACATGCAAATAAACACGTACATCATATCTGTTTGAAGACCAAATACATTGTTGTAGAAGAAGAAGAAGAAGAAGAAATCAAAACCATACAGACTGAGTCTATTCCTTGCCGCGTTGCAGGCAAACCAAATCGACCGAGATGTTTGACGCAGTCTAGTATATCTCTATGGGCTTTTCATTTCCTTGAATAATATAATATACGCCATTTGGTGGCGACCAAATGCGTGGCGGGAGGCAGCAATGCACTCATTCAACGAAGAAGAAGAGATGATCAAAACAAATCGACCAGGATGTCTGACCGCGCACTCGCAATTTTTTCTCCACGGGCTCTTCGAAGGGGGGTCTTCGTATAATTGACGAATGGTAATAAATAACTGATAATCCTTCAGTCTACCATCCCATCTTCAACATGCCGCCACCTAGTTGACGCAAACAGACTTGCATGCACCTCACGTTTCCCTTTCTGCATGCAGTCGGCTGACTTTAGCCTTTGCTTACTTTCGTGCGGTCTTGGATGCAGAGCGTGGCTCTCTCCTAGCGACAGAGTAGTTTCATGTGTGAACGGGGACAGATGCTCTCTCTGTGGTGGCCCAGCGTTGGCCAGGCCCCCCCCCCCCCCCCACAGAGCAGGTGGAGCTGGCAAGCCCACATCTAATGCCGTGGAGCTGCTCCACACAGCAGCTGCCCCTAAATATAAACTGCAGCCTGGCGCACTCGCACCTCTCTTTGCCAACGTGGGTGAAATCAAACCACTTTTTTCCATGGCTGGTATGGACTCATCTGTTATCAACCATCTGTTATCATGATATCAAACTTATGGGGGATTTTCGATTTGATAAACGCTGCGTCGCGTTTATCGCAGAAGTTATATTTGATGGTGTTTTTTCCATTATTTCGTGACTAAATATATTTTATAGACTTAATGGATAGTCTGCTAAAAACAAATGGATTAATTAACAACGAAGATCTTTCATCGCAGCCGCTATAATGTTATGTGTACAAGTTAAAAACTGTGTCCAAACTGACACTGCTTACAGAGCAGGTTAGCCAACTAAATTATTTAACTTCCCTCTAACCTCCAATTGTGATAAGTTTTAATGGCGCATCTTATTATTTATTTAGACAAGAGCTCAATCTCTAAGTGATCTTCATTTCTTAACGATGTGAGGACAAACATACAACAGTGCCATCCTGCCCTACTTGGTCAATACAGATGGATAATTAAATACACCCTCATGTCCTCCGTCCTGAACCACACTGTTAGGAATACAGCTGTTTGTCAGCCGTCGATGCCCATCAGTGTTGGGCAAGTTACTTTCAAAATATATTACTTATTATGACTAGGGATGTGCGTGACTAGTCGACTAAACGACTAGTCGTTGCTGCGCTTGGTAGTTTTTTTTTTATCTCTGAGAAAAGCATTTCTGCCGATAGGCCTGCATAAACCGCGGAAGTACGCAATGCACTATTGATAGAATATGCATATAAGAATTAGACCATGCTTTTAATAGGCCTAATTAACCAATGTTAAACGTGTAGTTTTCCAAAACATCCAATCATTAATTTAATTGAATCTGGTTCACAATTCTTAACAGCGCTCTTCACCCAAGTCAGTAACTGTGGTCATGTCAGGTGCGCTTTAATTTGATGGTGAATAATAACCATGGATGTATGAACTGTTTTAATTAGATGGTGAATAATAACCACGGATGTATAACAAGCTGCTCTTGCTGAAGGATTGAACTCTGCTGCACAAGCGGCGGCGCTCAGCTGAAAACAGTCAAAATGTTGCTCTACTAGTCGCTCCGGAGCAACTAGTAGAGCAACATGTTGGCTGTTTTATGAGTTTTACTTCATTTTAGACAAGTTCTGTTTAAACGTCAGGGAAATTAGTCGCTAGGAACAGCCCCAATTATAACATGGTGAAAAAATAATCAATATAATTCGGTTTCAGTAAAAATTGGCAGATGTTTTTGTTACATTGCAATGGGGAAAGATTCTTCCAAGCTGGTTTTTCACACTGTGAAAACATAAATCCACACCGGTATCGCTCTATGGTAGCATATGAACATCGCTATCGGACCTGTAGCAGTTAATTCATATTATGGGCCTATAGTTGCGTATCAATATGGGTATCACAAATCGTCAACCACTAATGCTCCCGAGTCAGAAGCAATGGCGACTCGCTGGCTTCTCCCTCGAGGCGGCAGATGTTTTTTGACGAGGTCTCGCTGTAATTAAACCCATAATAAACACTGGCTTTTATTGGAGGTCCTTTCTTGGCCGTCAGGGAGGCTGTGGTCGGGGGGTTATTCTTATGGATCAGGGCTTCAGTGAAGACACCTAACGTTAGCACCCTTGCAGAACTGTGCAAAAGCTGAAAAAGTACAGTTTGACTGTCACCGGATTCGCCATACTTGGCCTTTTTCACTTTTGGGGAACTTTTTTCAGGTCAGAATTAAACGGCAAATGTGATGCGTGTCACCTTTGACAAAGTGATTCATCGGTACGCCATTATGTTCCTTATCTGTTGTGGCTTTTGGCAGAAGTAGCTGAAGGTTACCGTAGCAAACCTGATGTCTGTACTGCGACTCATGTAAGGCGGTGTACCTTTGTAGTACACTGAAACGTGATGTCATGATGCATCATGTGATGGTGATGAGGACTTGGTCAGGTGATTTTATTGCAATGCTGATATTACATTTTTACCCCAAAAATGTTTTTCCTCACACAAATCGGGTCCCAGCCCATGTTACACCCAGGTCTCGACCCAATGTTAACCTAGTTTGACTTAAACTTGGCGTTTCAACCCGAGTTACACCCAGGTCTCGACCCCATGTTAACCTAGTTTGAATTAAACTTGGCATCTCAACCCGAGTTACACCCAGGTCTCGACTCCATGTTAACCTATGTTGACTTGGCATCTCAACCCGAGTTACACCCAGGTCTCGACTCCATGTAAACCTGTTCTTGAGGTTGTGCAGCAGGTTCAAGCGAGATGTCCCTTTCCGAACAAAGCCCCTCGGTAAACAAGGGGTTAAACCCTTGTCAGCAGCTGCGAGGTGTCAGACAGCTCTACATGGGGTGATGGCCTCAAGCATTGTGTTACTTACAAGACCACTGCAAGCTGTCATTACTACACTGGAGACTCCTACTCAATCATTCTGTAGCTTCCTCCTTATCTCGCTCTCCGCTTCCCTCCCTCGAGGTATCTCTCTCTCTACCTCTCTGACTCCCCCCCCCCCACCTGTCTTAGTCTCTCGCTCTCTCCATGTCTCGCAACGTCTCGGTCTTCTCTCTCTCGTCTCTGTCTTGCACGCTCTCGCTCTGTGTTTTTACGCTTGAGGGAGATGGAAAAATGTTTATCGATAAATGGTAAGTGCAATGGAAACGGATTCAGCAAATAAATGACATGAGAAATCATGTGACTTAAATGTTGAGTCGGGGCTGTCACCCGA